CAAAAAAGCGGATGATAGAGCTCATCAGCTCACAATGAACAGTCGCAGTCACTCTCTGGACTCATACCTCCCTAGCCCTACACGACGAAACAGCTCATACACCACGAATCTCAAGCAGAAATCACTACAACATAGAAGCTTTGATTACTTCACTGCTGTTATCACGAATCCTTTCAAAACAGTGTCAAGGACATGTGTAAAATGACGAACCGCTCAAGATTTTATAGATTCAGACATCCCACATTATTCAATGTTAACTACCATTGTGTAACACGAAATAAAAAAAAGGAACCGAAAAACTTTCCGCAGGTTGTCGTCGATTTTGTGCAGTTGTAGATATGATACTTTCTCAACAAATAAATTTTTTATACCTCGGAGGCATTCTTCCGCGCAGAAAAATCCCTCGGGAAAACACAAGACGAGACTGGGGCTTGGACAGATTTGAATAACAAAACGAGTAATCAGCAACTACTTTCATGTATCTTCTCTTGAACACCAACCTAACCCATATTCATTTGAATTGCTGACCTGAATATGAATGATGTTGCTGAAGAAATCAACTTCCTCATCGGAATTTCTCAATGGCGTCAATTGCTTCAACTGTGAATGATCTGGGAAACAATCCACAAGTAGAGCCAGGCATTTCACACATTCTTCTCGAACTATCTGAATTCAGAGCTATTCTAGGAACTCATGTGCCTTCAATTCCTATTTTGACCCACCTCATTTTGAGATCGCATTCCAACAGTGTACACGTGTATCAGTTCTCCATCTAGGAAAATGAGTTTTTCCGTTCGTTCATAGGGCATCCGAGAAAAGTACTGCATAAGAGACCGAAGGTTGGAGCCGGATGATGCACGTAATGAAATATCCTTGGTCTAGAACATTTTTAAAAAATTCGAAAACCACACTCTTCGTGTTGAAATAGTTACAACACCCATTCCAGCTTAAAAAATGAACGAGATTCCCTTTTCGCTGTGAGTTATTTTCTGACTTTCCTTTTTTTACTGCTTATAAAAAGTGATTCACTCTAGAAAGCGAAAAATTTTCAAAAGTTTTTTTCCAATCACAAAAATTTTGAGCTTTCAGTCTGGCGAGTTACCTGAGAAAGCTCACTTGCGAGCAACGCTATTGTCATGCGTGAAACGTAATTGCTAACATAGAAGTCTTGCTGGTAAACGACGGCCAGCAAATTGATTTCAAAATAGATCGAAATTTAAAATATGATGCGTATTAGAATGCCCTTATTCTTATTGTGAAAGCCCTTAAAGGCATTTAAAGGCGTTCACGATAATCTTGAGGTACCAGTTTTTATTCGAAAAGCGGAAGTATAGATTGGGAATAGTTCCTCGGTAGTGAAGAAAGCGAGAGAGTTCGCCGATTTCAAGAAAAATATGGCTCATCAGAAAAAGGGAAAATGGAGGTTGGACGAGATTGCCACGACGGAAATAACATGGAATGGGAATTCGGACGAGATTTCAGTTACTACAATTGCACAAAGAACTGACTAAATCAAGCCAGAACTGTACAGAACTGCCTTTCACTGTCGTTATGAGTCATGACAGTTCGTTGAACCTCCTACATGGGTTTCCTATTGAAGGCCCAGTCTCTGCAATGCCAGTGAAACTCGTACGAGGATACACACGGATCATTCTTCGAGCCTTTAGAACTCCGTAACTAGGCCGATTTCCGACCTATTAGTGCCAGATATGGTAAACGCGGCGGCCTTAAATTCATCCTGTGAGGGAATCTCAGAAACCATTTTTATCGCGAGTTGTGCCTTTAAGTTGAGATGCTCTTTGCTAAAATACCTTTACCCTTAGGAGGTCTGAGCAGAAGTCTGTATTCAGACTCAGGGAGACTTATTGTCAGATACAATCGTCTACCACCCAGTTCTCCTTGGAACCGAACAAGTGAAGTAATTCTCACAACCAGGAATTAATGCAGAAAAATCTGAACCAAAAAAAAAACGACAAAAATAAATTCACTTTTTTTGAAAAGCTGAGATGGGTGTTGTACAGTATCGCGAATTCAACTAACCGTATTGAGAGTATAGAAATGTGTATGCACGAAAATCCTCAGCAAATTCAGATCTATGGAGACATCGCCTTCCCATATCTGAAAGACATCGGCCTGGATTTAAATGAATGAACAAAAAAGCATAGCTTAGCCCCTCCCCTATATCCCTGCTGCACCAAAAAAGAAGTTTTGCATTCCATTTCTCTTCATGACAATCAGTATTCTACCCTCACCAAAACATCCGCATCAAATTGAAAACAAATCAACTTATCTTCCCCTTGGCGGTTTTCCACATTCTAGTTACTGCCTATTACTGGACATTACAAAATGATTACTCCAGTCTCTATTTTCCGAGCATTTGAAATACTTAACTGGTAAAAGGAGATGTTTGTCAATCACGAGGACATCCTTTCTCTCTCGAGGCTTCGAAATAGCTACTCGGAAGCCTTCCGTTCAGAACAAATTTTTTTCACCTACTTTTTTAGGGCCGCTCATGGATAAAAAACCCCTTGCAAGAAATCAGCAGCTGATTTTCAGTAGGATCAGCTTCCGAGATATCTCATTATAGGGTCAGCCTCTGATGAGGGCACTTCACTATGCTGGAAGATGTGCTGGCCACACTTGAGATGAAATTTAACTCACTTCATTGAGCCGATTATATGCAGCGTGGCGACGATCGTGGTCCGGCTCATCTATGCGTGATTTGTCCCAGCTCTCCAAATCGACTACGGTTTTCAGCAATTCTCTAACGCCCTTTTCAACGAGATCATTTGCCATCAAGCCTTCAACTATTCGAACCAACGATTCATGGGCTGAACGACCATCTGCCTTAGAAAACAATGGTCCTATACGCCTAAAACCACAAAGAACGTCTTTGACTTCACTCTGTCGGAAAGAAAGGACAAGACTTTATTCACCTGAGGAATTCCTCTGGCCCAGTAACACTACTCATAAGGCAAGCGATGACGTCAAGCAGTTTCTTCAGAGTTCCTTCTTTGGGGATCTTCTTTTCAAGATGACCCAAAATAGTGGAAGCCATCTTTCTAGCTAGGTCCCCATCTGGAGTATATGACGACAACCTGGAAGTATAAACTTGCTCCAATGTAATAAATAGCATAGCGAGAACCAGAACTTCCGTCGAACCTGCTCAACAATTCCAAATTATTTGCATTGAACGTTTTCACAGAAGTTTCCACAGCATCAGCAAGAAACTGTATGACTGGCTTTATATAGGCGACCACAATGGATGTACCGTAATTGCAGCCTTAAGAAGTACTACTGAATTCTCATATATTTAGGCAATCAATAAATGTTCTCACCTCTCTTCTTAGGAATATCCTCATATTCCAAATCAGAAAAGACTATGGGTTCATCTGCCAGGGTTAGAAGATTCAGGAGAGCTTTTCGAATGATATTCGACATGTGTGGTGTAAGACCCGGCCAAATCAGAGGCGACACCATAAGCTCCATGAGAGCTCCACTATGACCATTCCATTCGAAACGTAAAGCCAGAATGTGATAGTGTCTAAAATGTTATTTTTATTACCCAAAAATACCCCAATCTTCAAATGGGTTGAAAACTGTAACCTTTTTAGAATAAACTTATCCCAAAAGCTCGATATGATCGTAATTTTTTGGTTCCATAAATTCGGAGACCGAATTAAACATCTCTACAGCTGAGGTTCACAACTTCTTCTCGTAATAGGGGGGAAAAAGCAGATTGCCCGATAGCAAGAATGGGCGTTCAGTGCACCCGACGTAGATGATACACTGCCGAAGCATCAGGTAAAAGGGAACTCATTGGTTGTATCTACTGAATGACAAAAAAAATCTTCCCAGGTAGCATGTGCTTACCCACCCGGGAAATATCTCTTATTGGATTTAGGGAAACTTGAAAAATGGGAAACACCTCACGAAATCAATTCAGTTATACATTTCAATAATATTTCGTTAATTCAGCTATTCCAGTACTCTATTAACTCTCACTACTACGAAATAGAAAGGTAATATGGCTGCTCACCCATACTCCTCCCGAAGAGCTTACTCAACAAAACAGCAGGGAACGTTCTTATTTGCTAGTATGAAAAAAAAAACATCAAAAATTTCGAACCATCGAATCCCAAGTGACTTCATAGTGTAGGAGTTTACCGCTAGATTTCACAGCAATTAAAACGAATGTTTAACACATGTCAGTGATAATGCCTCTTTTCATCGAAATGGGTTCATGCATAGAAAATAGAAACCCACGTTGGATAAGCACATACAGCGGCCAGAGCTTTAATGACCGACAACGGTGCCACGACGAGCGTCTCATCTCGGTTGCTCTTCGAACTGCTGAGATATGGCAGTACCATATAGTCCAGCACACCTGTCAGTTCTACTGCAGAAAACGGCCGCTGAGGATATGCCGACAGAAACTGAAAACCGGCGATCATGATGATGCTTTCGTTCTTATTGATCCATTCTAATTTAGTTATTTGTTCCGATCGGAGATGGTGTGGTGGCAAGTGGCGCACTTGCACACATGCATGGTCAGGGGTTCGACACTCCATTGCGGTATCGAGTGCACCCAGCTACTCACAATCCACCTATCATTGTGAACTTGCTTGCTTATTTTCATAACATCATCAGGGCAACTCAGACCAGGAGTAGCGGCCATATTCACGATGGTCTGCCCAAATTCCCGATATGATTCCTCACTCCTTGTCAAAAANTACAACTTCTGGTTAACCACCAACCTCTGCCACGCGATCCGTTAATGACATTCGTAAGTCGCGCAACTTTCGCGACAGGTAGCTTGGCGTATCCGGATGTACTATGGCGGCTTTAATGACGACAGCTGTTGCAAGTAGAAGACGAAATAACATCGTTCGCTGCTCTTCCACAATTACACGAGCAATCCGTACCAACAAATTCGATACACTCGACAAGCATCTGAAAGAGTCATTAATTACCGACAGATGTAAACAGATACTACATAACATACGAGCATGTTCCATGAGAATCTTTGCAGCTTGATTGATGAGCGCTCTATTTTTATCGGGAGAAGAAAAGAAGTAGTAAGTTTATACGCTAGATTCAAGAGCATAGAAAATGAAGGTCAATGTCTCTGGGCGTTGATCAATCTCATCTGGGGATGCGCACTGCACTCGACTTCATTCAGAATCGTAGTGGTGTATTGAATGCGTATGTGGCCTATACATGACTTGGGGTGATCAGCCAATGTACAAATCAGTGCTTTTATCCGATTCCGGCGGAATTAAAGGNTTGGTTGGCCCCGGCGGATATCGACCAGTGGTTCGAACTCGTGACCCTCCGTGAGTTATAAAGCGCATTTTTCCCACTACACCATCCTTGTTTTTTCTGTGACCCATGTTATCCGATTCTGCGTAAAGCTGTGCGGGCTTTTACTTTATTCGTTACTTGATGTTGACAACAGTTCGTAGATAATCGTATTCTATTAAAGAAGATAAAACAACATGTAACACACAACAAGTAACACCAGCTTTGTAGGGAAAATTCAATTTCCTCGTATACCAGAGGAAGACTCATTGGTAATTGTTTGTGCCTTTACATTTTCTCGCACCACTACATCCATATACATAAATAAAAACATGAGCAAAATAAAAATAAAAACATGAGCAAAGTAACACCCAAAAAATAAAATTCGAAAAAAAAAAGAATAATTGCGCGTAGAAGGTTTCGCTGCCCAGAGTGCTACATTCACATGAAAGTGCTTTACATAATTTAGCTCAACTCAAATTAACAAAGTCTAATGCTTACTCGGGTTTGGTCAGTATATACCTGTTGCCCCAAAAGAATAGAAAAGCTATCTAAACCTTGGCTGAACAACATTAGTTGATTGATAAGAAGTCTCCCAAATCTCGTAAATGTATCCTTAGTGCTTAACAAGAAGTGACTTTGTAAAAATTTAAAATCACACAAGGCTTAGATCATCTTTCATTACCAATTCTTCCTGACTGATGCTACTGTTGTTTTATAGAAGTATGGACACACAATCACACCGTAGATGGTACTTTCTATCTCCACAAAAACCTCCCTTGTCTATGTAAAAATAGTGGGAAGACAATTGAACAAAAAGTTTAAGTCTAAAGACGATCAAAGATTCCGACTACTTCGCTTTTCTTGCAAAGTTCTTAGGATTTCATTATCGACAACATAGGCATGAATACGAGCTCCCAAACACCTCGACAGTGTTTAGAATGTGTGGAATCCAGAAGCTCTAACAGCCGACTTGCCGGTGAGACACGATTCTTCGGAAGCTTCGGAGCTGATATGCTGGTGCAGGGTCTTGCAAGGTCAACGTAAGCACGAAATTACGTCCACGCTTGCCAGCCAGGGCAAAGAGGCACTATAGAACCCAAATAGAGAAGGGCAGCAGTGTGGGTAAAGGCGTCCGCGAAATCTCTCGCGCATGCCAGTGCAACTTCAACAGAGCCATTCTTTTACTAGTATGGCCATCTCAATAACTAGAGCTGCCTGTCCCGGGAAGATGAATATTTCGAAGCTTCAACAATCGCAACCAAATTGCTATACATCATTTCTCCTGTAAAGCCTTATACATCATCCGCTCCGAGCTATGGTACGATACGGTCGGCTGGACGAGGTGTAGGTTATTAGCTAGGCCTGTCACTTCATGCGACGACCGTTGGACTGGGGTGGTTACCCAATGAAGCGAATCCCACTATCGTTCCTTTCGTTCGTCTTCATCAGAATGGCGACTGCCTCCGAGATCAAAATGGTTCAGAAGCTCAGNCTCCTGTAAAGCCTTATACATCATCCGCTCCGAGCTATGGTACGATACGGTCGGCTGGATCGGTAATGACGAGGTGTAGATTATCAGCTAGGCCTGTCACTTCATGCGACGACCGTTGGACTGGAGTGGTTACCCTCTAAAGCGAACACCGTAACACATCGTTCCTTTCGTTCATCTTCATCTGAATAGCGACTGCCTCCGAGATCAAAATGGTTCAGAAGCTCAGAATGATGCGCTTCATGTCTTTCGTTAGAGGATCGTTCACTAGACTACATTTATCGCCTCATGACACGGATGAGCGGATTTTAGTAGCACTCACTCGAGAAATTGATGATCAATGTGACGACAGGTGATACAGAACCGAATTCATCTTAATAATGTCAATCAGCGTTGACTAATCCATTCTTCATCCATCCATTAGTCAATTTATCAACACTGGATCACTTTGAAAAATGGTATTGTTCTTACATCAGCCGCTACATAGCCAACCGTGCGTCGAAATTCAACCACGTTTTGCTCAACCACATCAGACGTCATCCAGAAGAAGTGAAGAAAAACAGGGAAGGGAAGCCGGTGTTTTCTTTACCATTTCCTTCTACTTATACTTCCCATATTAAATTGGAACTACTGGCTGCCTTTGGGTTTTGAACTATGCCCCAGTTCAAAATTACATGGGGAAAAGGCCAGGATAGAATTCACCCAACCAGAAAAAAGACATCTGTTTTGGTATTTTTGTTTAGCTGCTGTTTTTCACCGCAATTAGTCTGTTTTCATCTTGTGATTGGTTAACGACTCTATGTCTTGTTGTCTGCTGTGTTGTTTGTCGTCTGGAAGTGGAGTAAACAAAAAACATTGATGACAACATCTTCCCAAATTCCATCAAAAAATGAAAGAAAGACAGTAAACGCTTACAGAAAAGGCTCTGCCCCATACATTACACATTTACATTACATTTTTCAAGATCGAATCGTCTCGAATCGCTAAACTCATTTGGAAGCGTACTTCCATCAGGAGACTACTTAGAATTTTTATTGGATGTTTTCATAAGTACTTGTGCTCTCTTGTTTAGCCCTGCCCAGCATTCATCTTTTCGCTTCATTTCAAAAACGGTTAAGAAGAGAATTACAATTCGTAAGAATTAGCATTATTTGAGTCTCTTCGTTTTCATGAGCTGACTTTTTCCAGAATTTTCAGCCTCAGGCTCGATCTAACAAGTGTTTTGAAGAAGTGGGCTTGAAAAGGGAGAAGACTTTCGTGAACTTTCATCGCTCAGTAGGGGAAACAATATGGTTATTCCAATCTATATCGAATTCCCACGCAAAAGGAGGAATCCGTCGAGGATATGTGGCGTTTCTGACTTTTTGTCTAATTCGAAAGAGACCTGAGAATATATGCGTTTTCGAAAGTAGACTCACCATGACCCCAGCAACGCAGCATCGTATGGTTCTTGGATGACAATCCAGAACCCCAGGTCTTTCTAACAATGACACAACCTCAATATTTGTTTACCAGCCGCAAAATATACTCGACTCAAAGAAGAAGATTCGGAAGAACAAAAAAAAAAATCAACCATTTGAACTTCGCCTGCACTCCTATCCCAGAACCATTGCTATCTACGTTGCCTGAGCTAATGAGATGGGACATGCTGAAAGCACTTCTGCAGTTCTTTCATTACATTTCTTCATCATTATCACCTTGACCTTCTGCTTTAGGACTGAGAACAAGCTACCCACATGAACCCCACCATTGTGCTCATTGTGAACACCTTTAGCAAGAACATCACCTGACCCAAAGCACAAAGTCGCGTAAAGTATCCGAAGTGCTTAGTTAGCAGTGTACACTTTGCTGTCCAGAAATCTAAAAAATTCACGATGGACGTTGACGACGAAGACGTTGCGATGGATCGCACAAGAGAGCAGTCCTCTCACTGTCGCTATTATGATCAGTGGGTTCACTGTTGCCCACTATTATTCTAGACAATACAAAAAATGCACTGCCCGAACCAAAAGAAAACTTCGGCGATCCACGTAATGAGTCATCGGCAACCCTCCCGTGCTCAACAAAGGTACAGTCATTTTTGATGATGTGAAAAGAAAGGCCCTTCTTCGTCTTTCTGGCTTGTTGCCTTCTAACCTTTGTAGAAAGAGGTCCCTCTCAACTCAGAGACAAAAAACTGTGAGTGCCCACCATTCAGAGTGACTCGCTGGACCGAACAGTCGGAAAGAGAAGCAAAATTTTGAAGGCAGTCAAAATATCAGCCACCAGGTGGCTACAAGTAACCAACCACTCCTCTGTTGGAGTTACACGAGTGATTCTATATTTTTTGGAAGAAGTATTTAGGTTGTAATTGATAAGCTAGGGGTTTGGATAATCACTCTCCTACAGGGAGAGAGGAAACTCAGGGGAAAAAAATTGAAGAAAAGGTTTGGAGAAACTATTCGTGAAGCAAAGGTGTAATTCAGGAACTCACTGGCACGAGTTACCACGAATAGTACGAGTAGGAAAAAAGGTGAAAAGAAATTTTTAGAAAAAGATGGGAAACTCAGAGGATTCCACAAGTTAAGACGTCATCAGTACGAGCAGGTGCCGCTCACACTTGTGAAACTGAACCCACGGATGTCATTCAGTCAAAAGGGTACCCTTCAATTACGACGACCACACACTGACACCATAACTTTACCAGTAAGTTTTTCCTCTACTGACTGCAACAACTACTGGAAAGCAACCACATCCCTTTCTGCGTTCCCTGCAAATCTTTCCGAAAGGGAAGCCGACACGTTCACATATGGAAATACTCGCATATGCAGCTAACACAATTTCGCCCTCATTGGAAGAAGCCCCTGAAGCGCTTTTTCCGCTTACATACCACTGCAGCGATGGGAATCCACAGCAATCTCAAATAACTCTCTCACGTTAAACCAAGAGATTGATTGGAACCAATGAATTATGTACGACCGGCAACCAACAGTGGGAGGGGAGTTTCTCAGCTTCCACATTCGTAGCCACTAATTATGTACTTGGGGGGATTACACGGTTCGGCGGTTGTCTTCCAAGACGTTATGCGGACCATGGAGAGTGCCCTTTCGGATTTATTCTTGTTCTCGAGATCGGGAACTTGGTCCTTCTTAGTTCTTCTTGGATACATCTACCACACACGGCTGTCACAGGAGATGCCGACACACAATCTGGCGCTCCACAGACCAGATCATATTTCATCTTATCTGGCCATTCGTTAAGTACGGCTCTCACGTAGCACGAAATTGTAAACCTTGTTATGCTTTTCTCTGAACTTCTGCACTTTTTCACACCTCTTCAAATTCCTTTGGTTTGAGCCCTAAGACTTCCCTTTTGACAGAGATGAGGGCTGAAATCACGTACAAATGCAAACATATGTTGGACAAGATTTCCAAGCGAGAGGCAGTTCTGCAAATGAAACGGACGGTTTTTGAAGACGGGATCTAACTGCTCGGACTCATGATACCCATTATCGCACTATTACAATGTTGACAATGGATGGGCGGCAACTTGCGACAGCCTCATCTCACCGAGGTCTTCCACTTACGCACCCTCACCATCATCATCGCCGCCCACCGCACTACGAGGTCGTGGCCGGCCGGCCGTTCACTTTCGCGTACTTGACTCTTTTCAAAACTTAAGCTCAAATAATTACCATTCGGGTCAAGTGCTGTCTTTGAAGGCAGACGCACCCATGCCTTACATTCTTTGCTCTCATTTCAAGCTCACTTTCGACGTCGATATGATTTTTTTGCCTTAAATATACACCAAGACCGCACTGAACTCATGAAAAGCCAATTTTTCCAACTGGAAGAATCCTTCAGTTCCAATGAAGACCGTATTTCACATGACAAATTAACTATAACCCGTTTTTGAAAGGTGATAAGATGCAATCATCTCTTGGATTTTCATTTACAACCCAATCTCGTGTCCGGATCTTTTAGACAAGGACAGTAGATCTTAGTTATTCTACAATGCATTAAAATCAACGAAAAAATGTCCACATGTCACTTTGTACTTTCATATTTCTCAGAATTCGTTACTTTTCCAGAGTACTTTCATGCCAGTTGTCCTCGTCAGTTCAGTTTGCTAAAGTTATATTTAGGTTGTTTCCACCTACAGTGGTAAAAACAACAAAGTAATGCTTATATTGGTTGTAGCCTTAAAAACGACTTTTTCCGAACAAATATGTGTGTTGATCACAAACAGAATTTTCTGAAAAAGGTCAGAGATCCTACTGAGGTGACCCTTCCGTGATTTTCTATTCCACATCGATATCCACACTCTTTTTTTGGTTTTTCTACGAGTTTCACGAGCTGCGGAAAAAAAAGCTGTGGGTGTCCACTAGCAAAGTAAATAAAAACTCAGTTTCGCTCGAGAACTAACCGCTTGGGAACCTTGTAGAGAATCCCTGCTCAGCTGGTTGGAAATTAATGTAGTTAACGATATTCTCTAATTCAATGATGGGAATAAAAAGGAAAACGGGACGAAAACACCAACAAAACGGGAAATTCTCTTCGTCTTACTATGCATTTACTAGCAAAATGTTTTTTGAAAGTTATTCGAAAATTACATATTTAACTTCATTCGTTCTTATGAAATTTATAAAATTTTTACATTTTTAGATTTTTCTCTTTTTGAATATATCACTTCTCGTTTCTATTACGCGTTGTGTCGATGTATTCATACGAGGATAACTACGAGGCACAGAACATTGGATCCCACTGATCTAACATTAATAATCAGAATTTTAGCCACGGGCATATGCGATCCCTTCCACCCCGAGTAGTCCATTAGAACACCCTAACCGTCAACGTTGGACGATCTTTCAACTTTGCTATTAAATAATGATCTTCAAAAACCTAATATTACTATTCTATTATTTCACGCTACTAACAAGATTATTTCCCACTACAGTTGATAAGATATTGATCTCATCGAATGAATTGAATTTAAATTGAATTCTCGTTCCAAAACGGGTAATTGATCCCAATGTAGAAATGAGCTATAATTTACTCGGAAGTAGAATAACTAAACTTAGTGCTCCCATATCATTGCGTACAGAAAACTCAAAAGTAGCATCGAAGACCCTAAGAGTTTAAAGCGATAGGCAATGCGAGTGGACCCAGTAAGCCTTGCATTTCAAATCTGTAGAGCTAACTTTAGCTGTTAGGTGGTCTGTTTACTTTGTTCAAGTTTTCAATTGCTTTGCTCTCATAATCTATGTCTAGATTACTGGGCAACCTTTACAATAGAAGATTGCCGGTGACTATTCCGTCCACAGCTGCCCGAGAGGTCGTTCAGTATGCTATTTCATTACCTTTGAATATTTGTTCATACTCTGTGTTCCTTTCCCTCTCTCCTAAGGTCCACGGCACGACCGCGCTTCGGAGTTTGGCGAGCGCCTCCAGTCTTGTTCATTGGAGAAGACTATCATAGCCGACAAACCAAATTTACTGAATCCGTCGAAAACTTGGTTCGACAGCTGTACCACTATACCTTCCCTCTTCCTGTTTAAATGAACACGGCGGGTCTTTAGCGCGTGTGAAACTTAATACTACAAGTAGTAGTATGTACCAATGCTAAATTCGATCATCTGTTCTCTTCCAAGAAGTAAATGCGATTAATTCACTGGTAAATATTGACAAATGGTTCTGACCTTTTAAACATCCCTTTCCCAATTCTCTACGGCCTTGTCTACCACTAGCATAACTTTTCGTAGCTATAATTTATCTAATTTTTCATATATACCCAGAAGCCTTTCAATTTTCTTTGCCAATTTCAATCATGTCGCTTGTGTCAAGGTACGACGCATCCCAAAATATATATCTTAAACAAGAAAGTTTCTTGGACTGACACAGAAAGCGCCTAACGATATCCCCGAGAATGTTCATAAATCAAAGTCTCACGTTGGACCCTGGCTACGATCAGATTTCCTCTGATCCAAGACATGTACGTACCACATTGATGGCATTTTTACTACCATCGTTAAGCCGTAATCAATCGAAACAGTTGTTTCTCAGCAAGGTTTCACTGAGGAACTTCAAACTCCATCAATTACTGCCTAATGAAGTATCTGGACTCCTAGCATTTGCTGTTTGTATTGATTTTAGTCTATCCTCCACTTATCTCGCCCAATAAAATTTTATACCGCTCTTATTTAAACTAAGCTGCTTCCCACTTTATTGCCTCATAACTATTGATAGCAGGGAAAATCACCACTTATTAGGCAAAAAGTCCTCATTTTGATGGTAGATTTACTCTGACACTAGATCCTTTCAAGCTCCACTTATCTCAGACTGCTATATTACCTAACAGCTCATTTTGTTCTATTTCCTCGGGACTCTCTAGGTGGCTGTTAGTTAAACCGTCATGTTCTTTTTCACCACCCTGACACATCGACCGACGGCTCTCGCGGTGCACGTTGAGATGTCAGATGTGAAAACCACGCAACTGTTCATTTTCCGCTCACAAATGCCGCTAAATGCCCTGTTGCAGAACAATTCTCTACCGCCACCACTTTTCAGCAGACTGCGGCCGATAATCATTGTGGAGAAACCATGTAACTGGACAAAATGTCTTTTCTCTTTTCGTTTTATGCCGTCTCCATTTGCCTGTACTATATTCCTGGGACGGCACCAAGCTTTTCACAAGCTGGAATTGGAAACGCCACCTTGAAGTGCAGGTGTGTGTCGAATTCTGATTTTTTCCAAAATTCCATGACAGAAGATTCATAAAAACTCGGCATCAGTGAAGGACATGATCTCGTTACCCATCGTGGATTGGGTTGGGCATCAGAAAATCGCTCCAAATTTTTGAAGAAGGTTAATAACCTGAAGGTCTCCGGCCTTCCAGTACCGTCGCCTAGGAACGAAACCCTTAACTGAAAACCGTATTGAAATCGCTTCGACATTCGCCTGATGTCTCCTGATGTCACCCTAGGAGACACTGACGAACTTTAGAACTGAGATGCGGCGTCTAGATTCGATTAGACTTATGCCCGAAATCAGCACACAGAACTACAAATATCCCTTGCCACTATCGACGCGAGCGGAGAAAAGTGACAAAGACTGCTTTTTCAGGGGAGGTTAAGCGATCTTAGAAAGCTGGGAGTCTTGAAATGGACGATTTCAACATCAATTTGATTTCCAACTTAACTCCCAGGCTTTTCAAATTATTATACAATCGTGACAGCACCATTTTCTATTCATAAAATTCTGCCCCAAACCTGCCATAAGCTTAAAGTAGACGTCAGCTACAATATCCGCTGTAAAGTTCGAAACCCCATTAAAACCCATTCATCATTTGAGAATTCGTGAGAATTTATCCCTCACCTATAGGATGTCAAACTTCAAAAATTGCATTCCAACCGAGCGATTAGGGCCGATAGAATCCAAGGCATAAAAGGATAAGGATAAAGTATTTAAGCGTTAACCAGTTCCTTTTTTGTTATGCGTCCAGCATTCGACTCTACATATTTTGAAACCGTAAAGATATTCAAAAATCGTAAGCAGCCTATACGATTATCTGCGGTGGCTTCAGAAGTCAGTACCTTCCTCCAACAAGTCGATTCTGGAGCCATTTAACCAATCCCCAAAGAATGGAAGGCTCAGTTGGCTGAACTCCTATAAATCCACCATTCNCCCCAAACCTGCCATAAGCTTAAAGTAGACGTCAGCTACAATATCCGCTGTAAAGTTCGAAACCCCACTGAAACCCACTCATCATTCATGAGAATTCGTGAGAATTTATCCCTCACCTATAGGATGTCAACCTTCAAAAATTGCATTCCAACTGAGCGATTAGGGCCGATAGAATCCAAGGCATAAAACGATAAGGATAAAGTATTTAAGCGATAACCAGTTCCTTTTTTGTTATGCGTCCAGCATTCGACTCTACATATTTTGAAACCGTAAAGATATTCAAAAATCGTAAGCAGCCTATACGATTATCTGCGGTGGCTTCAGAAGTCAGTACCTTCCTCCAACAAGTCGAGTCTGGAGCCATTTAACCAACCCCCAAAGAATGGAAGGCTCAGTTGGCTGAACTCCTATAAATCCACCATTCGATCTTAGGCATGTGATTGCGTGCACCACTTGCCACTACATCACCTCCGGCTAAAGGCCGGGTGAGGGATTGAAAATTGTAAAATCATAAAAGAGGACCCATTTCGAAATTCAGGGCGAGCGGATCGTTTCAAAAAAGTTCTTGGGACAATGTCAGACAGTAAACGCCGTCTAAACGTTGACTTCAGTTCTTTAACATCAAGACAAATGGATGGATTTCCCTAATGGACTTACTAATGGAAGCGTCCTTTTAAATCATAAAAAATGTCATGGACTGAAATTGGTTTGAGCAAGGCGACTAATGGGAAAAGATTTGCCAGACTTCGTTCCTGACATGCCTTTTTTCGATTTCTCGAGGTTCCCTTCTCATCCATAGAAAAAGTCGAGCGTGGAACTTAGGAAGGCAATGTGCCAATCGTTGGGTCCAGCAGTTGGTAAATTTTTTGTGTGCTTATCGCGTTTTACTACTTATAACCAATACGGATCCTAGATCAATACGGTTTCCTCCCCTTTCGGAAAATCCTGAGAAAGAAATTCTTCCGAGTAGAATTGCTGGATCGCTGACAATGGAGAGACTGGTAAAGGAGGGCTAGGCTGGTGAAACAACTACGTAAACTAGTAGAATCTTCCTCTCAAAAAGTAACTACCCAACCAATCAATAACCATTCTTCCCAAAATGATATTTTCAGGTTCACGAAGGCTTCCGACGAAACATGGCACCAATGCGATTGTGTCCCAGTGGGAAACGACGGTTCTGTGCATGTGATCTGCCGACGAATGTTGGCCTCTACAATACCGTCACTGCCGCTAGTCGACTATCAACCACAACCTCCAGCAAGTATCGTAGCTTTGTCAATGACCGAAGGAGGACTGGCATTTGTACAGCAGGACGCCTTTCGGATGCACGATATACAGGCACTTGACTTCACTAACAACCAGATTCAAACAGTAAATGTAAATGCGTTCCGTGGACTCGAGGTCAGCCTTATCACTCTTTTTCTACGATTTTTGCAACAGGACCTACAAACATAGAACCATTTAGATGAAATTGACTCATCTGAGTTTTAAACAAAACAATCTGTCAGTCATTCCATCGTGGGCATTGACGTATTTACATCATTTGCAAGTGCTAAGACTCGACGGAAACCGAATCAGCCATATCCGACCGAACACTTTCGATGAAACTCAACTCAATAACCTTCACTTCCTTCATTTAGATAACAATCAGGTACGTTTCTTCATTGGACAGTCTAATTCCAAGAAGGTGATTAGAAACAGGAGCGACTGGGTTCCCAAACAATCGAAAAATTTACTCAGTTACCGTCGTTTAACTTTTTTTCAATTTCAAATGGATAGATGGATTCAGAAATGAAATCAATCTAATCATACTTAGATAACCATCATTCCAAACATGGCTTTTGCCAGACTAAGACTCATCGTCCTCACCTTGTCAAACAATCGTATAACACATCTGGAAAAGCTATCTCTTCCACCTTCGTTGAGTATACTCGAACTGAGGAATAACCTTCTTACACAGGTGAGATTGATTTCAAGCTGGCTTTGGAATGATAGACGAGGAGGGCAGAGGATAATTTAAATTAGTTTCAACTTACTTCCAGATCCCTTACCTGGCTTTGAAGGACAAAACGGCGCTACAAGTTTTGGACCTTGACTCAAACAATATCTCATCCCTCGAGTATAACCCTGAAGTGCAATTCAAAACCGAGCTCAGACTCGTTCTACGTAATAACAAAATCCGAACACTAACAACAACGTCACTGAAAAGCTTCAGGAAGTTCAAGGAGCTCGATCTGAGTTATAATCAAGTGAGTACGATTATTGAACAGTTCCAGGACGACTCATGCATGCCTTAAATAATCTCTCCAAAGCATACCTTAGAATTATGTATTTCAAATTGCCCCCGACCCATCCGCTATTTTGGAAAAAATTGTACTATGCGATAGCCCCTAGCATTGGTAGTGATGAGAAACAAATGTTATTGCATAGGTGTTAAGTAAAGGGTGAGAAAATGGTTTTTAATTTCAGTCGTAGCGACCAAATTGATGCCTACCGCATCGAAAATCGGGAAGGGCATCACGATAATGTCAGTAATTCGGGAATGGCCTGATTGCCTAGAGGCACAAATCACTATAATTTTGTGATACCTAACTGAATTGGAATAATGAAAATTATAGGGTACAATAAAGCAAAAACGTTGAAGAAAAGAGTGAGAAAATCAACGAACTTTAGAAAAAAAAGCCGCAAGCAGTGAGAAAAAGGTTTTACGAGATTATGACGAACAGGGTGGCATGGAGGGGGTACTTAATGTTAGACGAGATGCCTCTCGTGTGCCGCTGCGCAGGGTTGGTTACAGTTAGCCAAAAACGTCAGGATTGCCTTTCGCTGTCGCTACAGGTCATGTCTACTTGTTGGGATGTTTGGAACATGGCCATCTCTGGGAGTGCTGTTCAGTGGATACGATCCCTGAGCTCTACTACGCCCTATCTAGGCCGTTTTACAGTTTGACAGCACCACTTATGGCACACGTGGGGACAGATGCATCTACGGGGATACCTCGGAGTCTTTTGCTAGTGAATTGTGCCTTTAATATATCCAGCTGAGCTCAGTTCTAATCGGGAAAAACCTTTGCAGAGTAAGTTCAAGACGACCCATGTGAAAACAATTTTGAACCATGATTAATGCCAAACTTTTACGAATAAGACACAGTCTTCTAGAAACTGACTCATTGGACCCCCCTCCCACAATTAGAGAATACGAATCTAAAAAGAAACTGATGTGAAAATTGATTCAAAATGTGATCATGGGCACACCCTTGAAGTGTATTTGAATAAATAAATGAAGGGTTTTTAATAATTCCTTTTTCAATTAAAGAGTTTTCGAGATTCAACATACACATGTCCATCATGCCATACCTTCTACAGATGGAGAAGAGTGTTCATTTCAGATATCCAGTATATCATCAAGTGCATTTGAAAGTATCAGCTATGTGAAAGCTCTCGACCTCAGTTACAATACTCTTGCTTATATTGCTCGTGGAACCTTCAAAAACTTGGCAAAAAATCTCGAACGACTCAATATCGAAGAGAACATCTTCCATGCGGTTCCAGCGGCTCTCAGTGACCTCAGGAATTTGACACATTTGAGCATGAACGGAAATAAACTGACCAAGTAAGCTAGATTACCCTATTCCAAAACTACCCTAGCAAAATTTTTTCAGGGTGGAAGCAGAGCCTTTTGAAGGACTGAAAGAGGTGCTTGTCGATCTATCACTTGCCTACAACCGTCTAAAAGTCGTTCCAAGAGCAGCTCTCAACGGGATGGTCCGTTTGGAACATTTGGATTTGTCAAAGAACAGCATCAAACAGCTTGATCGATCAGCATTTGGCACATTTGATGGCAAAGCTTCGAGTTTGGTGCATCTAAACCTCGCGGGAAACCATCTGAAGTCCATCGACGATCCAGAGGTCTTTCTACGGATGACATCGCTGGCATATCTGGACCTATCCTATAACAAGCTCGAACACATCGACCCCATGACTTTTGAGAAGCTACCAGGATTGGAACGACTGTACCTACAGGTATATAACCACTTTTTTGAACTTCACTTGATGAATAGTCATCGGAATCCATTTCAGAACAACAAACTTCGAAAATACCCTCTGCATACGCAGCATCGAATGCAGAATCTCCGACAACTAAATTTGGACAACAACCTAATTGACGAACTACCGGATCATATTCTCTATACTACACAACGTTTAGAACACTTGTCCTTAGCAGGCAATCGAATAGAATCCATTGGTGACAACATCTTTCACTCGAGTAGCTCGAAAGGACTTAAGTCCCTGAATCTTGCCGGAAATCGAATTTCGAGCATTTCGAAGAGGGCATTCCAATTGATGGAAAATCTCCAAGTTCTCAAGCTCAACAACAACCGCCTTCGAACAATTGACACTACGGTGAGACATCTCGTTTTTGAACGTTCCTATTGCCTTTGAACGAACACTGGTCCGCATTGAAAAAGAGAGCCATCCATCAAAAAAGATTACATGACATGAGACAAGAACGCGAAATATTAGTGAGATTGAGCAGCTTCGTACATTGAGGGTGCAAAAAGAGTATGGGCCCAGATGAGAGGTTCCATAGCTCCCAGGTTAGTTCAAACTAATATAAAGCTCATATCTTTTTATAGAAGGCTTATATTAACGGGAAGGAGATCATAAAGCTCAAAACTGCATACTTTCAGTTGGAAAACCAGGTCAAAAAAACCACTTGCTTGAGAACGTGGGATATTTTTACATAGTTTTGCATTTGACAAACGTCTCGAACCACCAAAAAAGGCCTCTTCGCGAAGACTGTCATCTGAGAGAATAGAATTTATCACTGGGATGGAGAGTCCGTAGAAAGCTTTGGGTGGTTACTCTGTTTCGTGGATAGTGGTTTAGTATCCAAAAAAAGAATGACATTGAGAAAAACGTAGGAAGAGATGAAAATGACGGAAATGATGTAAACTTGAGCATACCCTTTCTCTCCTCCCTCTTACCCAGCAGGCTTTCCTCCCTATCTCATTTTAGCTTCCTGAATAGGATGAAAAGCGATAGATTCAGATATAAGGTAAAACTCATGCATGAATGTTAAGCTTAAGAGTGATCGTGTGCTCATGTATGCAAAATACCTATGGAAAAACTATTTTCAGGTATTCGCAGAGCTCAAAAACCTTCGCTACGTAGACCTCTCGAACAACAACATCGTCCATATCCTACCACAAGCTTTCACAAGTCTCCCACTGATTGATACCCTACTCCTACACCACAATGAAATCGAGCGAATCGATAAAGCAGCATTCCACCGTATCGCCAGGATTGAGACATTGGATCTGAGCCACAACTTTCTAAAGAACTTCACTTGTGAACAACTCGGTTCTGTTCAGACGATATTCAATCTCAATCTCGCTCATAACCGGATTGCTCAGTAAGGGGCATTTGTTTAGTAAACTGCTGAAGACATAATAGAGTTATTTACAAGATGTTCTTTGCAGGATGGATCTCACATGTATTCTGCGAAGTCTCATTCACTTGGATCTTGGTCACAACCTCCTCGAATCGTTCAAGAAGAACATGATGGATGGTGCTGACAAGTTGCAGGAAATCATTCTTCGAGGCAATGGCATCCTTGAGTTGCAAGCTCATGCATTCGGCTGTTGCCCAAGGCTTTCCACTATCGACTTGTCACAAAACCACCTGCGAACTATTCACAAGGAGACTTTTTCCGATCAGGTGAGGGAGAGGTGATGAAATGCAAGCCATGCAAAGTTTGGGAAAAAAGTTAAGCTTTGAAGGTGACTGCAAATAGAATGTGGTGTAATATCGCTAGAAGAAAGAAACTGAAGTTCAATGAGCAAAGGTAGAGCAGGCCAGGAGGCGCCGCTACCATACGATGACCCGGGGTCTGAATCGCGGACTTATGTAAATGAACTGATCAAATCATCCACTTCTTTGGCGTGGGATAGTTGGCGATAGGCTCATTCGGAGGCTAAGAGGTTTTGATTCGCACTTCGGTTGGCTACCACAAGTCAATGATAGGAAAAACACGCATTCAGACCCTCCTAAAATCTCCTAAGATTCTGAAGGAAGCCGATGCGAGAACGCGTTTTGAAGTAGGAGACATTTATTTATTTATTTATCATATACGCCATATAAGACAGCTGTGGAAAGAAAACATAAACAAACGTCAGCAACACAAAATATAACGATAGAACAAACAAATTCTGAGAAAAAAAAA